AGTACCTCGCGACTCTCGCGATCATCGCTGCCCTCTGCAGGCACCAAGCAACAGCAGCCCTCTCTGCAGTCCAGCCGCAACACACGCGATTGCAAACGGCATGGTGTTACAGCTTGTGGCTACCGGGGTAAAAGGTGTCAACGACATAATGCCAAGCGGATGTAGAAGCCACATACTATCGTGTAAATGTGGTCACCTGCCTTCTTCCTTGTCTGGGGCACATTGGGTACTGCATCACTGGAGCACACAAATTGCCAGAACAGCTCATGACTGTGCGCCGACTGTTGCAGAAGCTAACGAATTCCTGGCACAGAGTGGGGCAAAGAGTTTCAAGACCCCATAATCTAACGTCGAATGCATATCCGCAAATCATCCCGTTTCACAGCAGTAGCTGTGTTTTTCTGCGCCGCTTCAGATCCAAAATACATCGCAGCTTCTGGCGACCTGCCCAAACGACATGGAAACTCTTCAGGCAATCCAACGAAGGGCGCGAGCCTCTGATGAAGGAGCCATCATGTCTGCAAGCTCCGGCAGGACCTCACGTGAAAGGCTTAGCACTCTAGTCAAAAGCCCCGATGATGGACTGCAGTCAAGCCACACTCTCAAACTGCTCCTGGATTCCCGCAGCAGGTCGCAGGATGAGAACACCCGTCCTGACAGCCAGGTCAACCTATAAGCTCACGAGTTGAGACAAAACTGCCACCAGCAAACGGGTCCTAATGGAACTTCCAGGGCACGCAGTGCGGCCGATTTCCATCTCACCTCTAGACTCCACAATGCAGCAGCCATCGCAAATCGGATCGCCAAAACTCAGGGATGCGTGAGCTCAGCTGCCAGCATGCCAAGACCGGCCCAAGCGAAATAGACTTCACCCTGCGATGCAAGGAGCAAAACTACCACGGCGAAGTGATGCTTCTCTTATCGACTTTTGCTGCGGCCTTCGATAGACCCTCTGAGCTCTCATCTTGTCACGCACTGGATACCTTTGCAAAGGTGTGATGAAACTGATCAAACTCTGGGGGTCCGCCACAAGCACGGACGTGATCGGCTAGGATTTGAAGTTCCAGCGCACAGCTGGAAAATGTGATGCGGTTTAGGAGGCTTTTGCTCTTCTGCCTGCTGCAACGCAAAGAAAAAGAAGTTGCAACATCTTCAGCGCGGCATGCAGATCTGCAGCCGAAATCAGCGCAGTTGACAGCACATGATTTTGGAGCCAAGCAAACACACGCACTTGATTTCGCGTAAACACAGAACATCCGTTTTCGCGAGAATAAGCGAGCACATCCATGGCAAGAACTGACCTCTGCCAGTCACTCAGATGTCGCGATGTGGATGCCCCTCACTAGTTTCTGACAGGTTCTTCCGAACCCTCCTGGAAAGGGTGTGGCCAACGCCTGTCGGAAACTTCGTATGACGTTGCAACGCGGCAAGCACCGACATCTTCGAAAACTCAGGAATAGAGTCCCCTGTAGGACCTGAAACGAGGAGCTCTTTGCTTGAGACGTCTCGTGGGACGAACGGCTTTCGCAGGCTGGCTGATGCACGGACCCAGCTACGGACCTGCGGACTCTCGACTACAGGGGCATTCCAGTCGAAAAGACTGACACTCTTTTAGCAATCCTCTCTCACTCTACAATGCAATCAGGATGCCATACCACAACAGAGGCTGCCGGCCAATGTTCCTGAAGTTGTCGCAGCCTTGAAGCATGGAAACGGCTGAGGCACATGGAAAATATTTCAAAAGCCCTCTGGGCAGCTGGCAATCGGAAGTTGAAGTTATCAGTGAAGCACAAGTCGTAGGGAGGATCGATGAGAACCAGGGCCCTGTCTGGATGGCACAGTCACGAAATTGCCGGCTGCAGGAGCCCTGGGCCCTGGGCCCTCTGCCTTTCCGGCTCCGTTCGCTCAAGAATCTTCGGAAGACCCCTGCAGGGCAGGGCGTTTTTTTAGTCGCATGCGGATCCGAGCATGACGCTCCTGTAGGCATCTTCGTGCAAAATGTCCACGTGCAAAGCCTGGGTGAAAGCGGCCATGCTTTTACCTTGGCTGGGATGCACATGGATGGGTTCCATTCAGGAGAACAAGAAGGGGCTCAAAAAGATGCGCAGCCAAAGAGCAGAGTGCGGCATGCACAGACTCGGTTGCCTCGACAAGAATAGCTCTGGAGCCCACGGGGCCCGCAGACAGCATCTTCACAGCCAGGGCCGGCGAGCCCGGGTAGACGCCTCCGGGCAAGGATAAACAAAGACAAGCGAACCTGCGAAGCTGAAGTGTGCCGCTTCGGTCATGAATAACACTGCAACAATATCAGAACTTGGCGGATCTTATCTTGAGCGAGCGAGCAGCAAAGCCGGCCACGCCTGACGCAGTGAGTCTTGCACTCTGGCAGGATTCCACCATGTCAAGATAGGTCCGTATTGGTGCAGGTATCCTGAGATGCATCACAAGCTTATGCAGGGTTGCTCACGAAACAATAGCACTCCAAGCTAGCTTCGGCTTCGTCCATGCGCTTGCAGATTCCACAAGGCGACCAACACCCTCCGCACTGCGAACGTAGCCGTGTGTTCCCTCAGGGACGGGGCCAAACCTGGTCTGACCTCAACGGCCTTCCTGTACTGCCCAGAGCTTCTGACAAGACAAAAAGGCACAGCTCCCTGCTGGTGGCACTCTTCGATGAAGCCGAGCCTTCTGCATCTGCAAATCGTACATGCCGGCACCAGCATGTGTGTCCACATAAACGATGGGAGACTGCACAGGCGTGACTCAACACAAATGTCTCACAGATGGGCTTTCGTGCATGCCCGCCTCAGTGCTCAGCATATCTTGCAAGAGCGACACGAGAACCACGTGCTTGAAGCAGTCTGGTAAACTGCCGGCTTGAACAAAATGCTCCTCACTTGAAGCTGCACAAGGAAACACCCCGACAAATGCCATACCAGCTCTGGTTCCGAGCAAGCCGCGTAAGGAGGGCGTAGGGACCAGCCAGGTGCTCGTGAGATGGCATCCTCCCCGCGTCGCTGCGAGAGGAAGCGCACGGCGCGAAATCTCCCGTAATCTCGGCTTAAAACAAGGCGCTTCCAGGGTCTTGTCGCGCAGAGGCTGCGAAGCCATTGCCCACTGCAGATCTACGAGCTCTTGCGCGGAGAACGATGAGAGATGCTCCTCAACTGTCTCAGAGCCTGACCAACAGTCATGCATTTACGTCGACCGCTTCTCTCTTCACCAATGGAACCTTGGAACCTGGATGCAGCACCCCACGAAGACACTCGATCTTGCCGAATTAGCCAAGCTGCCCAGGCGCCCTGCACAAGTGCTCGGCGCAAGCGCTCCGGACACACCGAAACCGCAGTGAAAGCAGCGGCGGAAGTGGCAAGACCCTGAGGCGACAAATGAGGCACCAGAGGAACCTGGGATCCAGACACTGCCGGCATGGCTCTCCAACATTCTCTATGTGCAGAACAGTTGCTGCATGCTGGGCCAACCTTAGTCCAGTCGCGGTGGCCATACTCAGAAGCGCCCTTGCCAGGTCCCAACACTGGCAAGAGTGCTCCGCCGACATAGCGCCGAGGCACTTCAGCATAAGCTGCGGTGGTGCTGCATCCACCTCTTCAGGAGAGCTTGACAGTTAATTTCATCCTACGATCCTACCTTTTCGTTTTTGCCGGCCCTGCAGGGTGCTTCTGAGCAGCAAGAACTGTGAATCACTCACAAGCCCCAAACGTTTAAACTTGAAAGCGTAACACTCAGCTCCGTACCCTATGCCCAATCCCGTGGCAACAAGTGCAAGGCTGATGCAAACAAAATATCCAACAAGCTCCGCAACGTTTCCTGTAGGTCCCAAACCCTGAAATACCAAAAATATCATGCCTCCAGTCTCAGTCCGGTTTCCCCTTGCTTCTTCCACCCCACCTTGGCCAATGCCCAGGCCAACATCGCAACGTCACGAGCGTTCAGGCTGAGAACAGTCTGCTCTACCTGGCAAAGGACGCAGGTTCGTGGACACAGCAACACGGAGAGCTGCTAAGACTGCACAGGTGTTCTTGGAAGTGTGGGCAAAGGGCATCACCAGGGCAACATGCTGAGTTGTCAGCCTGATTGGCAAGCGTCAGCATGAAGCCAGTCTGCTCTTCGAGGTCCTAAAGAATGAGGCTGATTCACTGGACCGGGCTCAGAGACAGAATCTCCGACAATGCTCCGAGGCTCCGCTTTCGCAAAGGCCCATGCCAGCTTCGAGAGGTTCGGCCCATCCAGCGTGGGCAGCCGTGGCAGCGCGTTCTCAGCCAAAGCTGTAAAGAAAACGCCTCGGCAGTCAGCTCCAGTGCCGTGCTCCGCCGCCCGCTCGCGCTCTTGAGACCTCCCTCGTGGGCCGAGAGACGTTCCGTCCGGCCCAGGGTGGCAAAAGCCCAGGCTGCTCGTGCCAGGCCAGGCCCGTTGAAGCGCGCGACGCTCCGCAGACAAACGTCAGCAAAGGCAGTGAGCAGCGCCTCGTCGAGTCTCTCTTTGCGGAGAGAGACAGAGAGAGACAGAGAGAGAGAGAGAGAGAGAGAGAGTCAGGGCCGGCCTCGCCGGCCTCGTGCTCTTCCACCGCATCGAGCCGTGCGTAGGCCCACAACAGGCTGGCCACCTCCTGCGCAGGAACACCAGTGCTCCTGCAGTATTCCTGCTTCAATGTCTAAAACCTCGCTGGCACGTGTCGTTTGTCCTGAGGTTGGAACTCGCCAGGGTTTGCGAGGAACATGTCCGATAGACCACGAAGCAAAGGTCCGTGATGAGTCTCCGCCTTGCAGCGCTCCCGACAGGAATTCACAGAGCATAGAGCCCAAACGAATCTCTCCCGAAATGAAGACACAAGACTCTCAAAGCGTGCATGATGCTACTGCGAAGTTGGCTGGCTCGAGCATGGCTAGCTTGGAATGCGGGGGGCTAAACCCCCTGCCTTGGCAAAAGCCCAGGCCGCATTTGCAGCGTCCTGCCTGTCGAACGAAGTTTTGACATAGAAGGAACAACCGAAGCCTTGCCTGCTTCGGCAACCCACTGGCAAAACACTCGCCGCCGGACAACAATCTCACCGCAAGGTGTTAAGAGGACACACGCTGTCTGCATGCTGGGCTGGGTCCTGTTGAGGCACCTGAGCTTTGCAGCCGTTCGGTGCGCCAAGCTTTCCATGATCAAAG